GATAGGTAGATAGGTAGGTAGATAGATAGGTAGACTGCCTTTGTAGGTAGGTAGGTAGGTAGATAGATAGGTAGACCGATAGGTAGGTAGATAGATACATAGATAGATAGGTAGACTGATAGGTAGGTAGGTAGGTAGACTGATAGGTAGATAGGTAGGTAGATAGATAGGTAGACTGATAGGTAGGTAGGTAGGTAGATAGATAGGTAGACTGATAGGTAGGTAGATAGATACATAGATAGATAGGTAGACTGATAGGTAGGTAGGTAGGTAGACTGATAGGTAGATAGGTAGGTAGATAGATAGGTAGACTGATAGGTAGGTAGGTAGGTAGGTAGATAGATAGGTAGACTGATAGGTAGATAGATACATAGATAGATAGGTAGACTGATAGGAAGGTAGGTAGGTAGACTGATAGGTAGATAGGTAGGTAGATAGATAGGTATACTGATAGGTAGGTAGATAGATACATAGATAGATAGGTAGACTGATAGGTAGGTAGATAGGTAGACTGATAGGTAGGTAGGTAGATAGATAGGTAGACTGATAGGTAGGTAGGTAGGTAGATAGATAGGTAGACCGATAGGTAGGTAGATAGATACATAGATAGATAGGTAGACTGATAGGTAGGTAGGTAGGTAGGTAGATAGATAGGTAGCCCGATAGGTAGGTAGATAGATACATAGATAGATAGGTAGACTGATAGGTAGGTAGGTAGATAGATAGGTAGCCCGATAGGTAAGTAGATAGATACATAATAGATAGGTAGACTGATAGGTAGGTAGGTAGGTAGATAGATAAGTAGACTGATAGGTAGGTAGATAGATACATAGATAGATAGGTAGATAATACGTTATGTAGGTAGGTAGGTAGGTAGGTAGGTAGGTAGGTAGATAGATACCACTATTTCTGATATAACCTCCAAATATAAATTCTAGAATACTTTCTTAGAAACTTATTCGTTATTACTTAATCATGTTAGTTGTTGTAAACCGCTGCTCTAAATCCCACGTTACAGATAAGGTAAGTAGAGAAGATAGTAAAATGGAAGTCCATGAGGTTTTACCTCCTTAAGATGTATTGCGGTTAAACAGCAGACACTCTCCACATTTTCTCTTCACACCAATGACAACAAGGTGAAATAACTCCACGATGTGACACCTGAAGCTCCATCTTCGCCGCTCTGAATGAGCAGTAGATTTACCGATTTCAGCTTTAATCCTGCACAAATCTAAAAGCACTAAACCTAATGAAAACACGCAAACCGCATGAGATGACCACTGGGTCTTTGACATTGCATGATGACATTTCAATGCCTCCCACTAAAAATAGCCCCCACGCACAGAGAGGGGGGACAGATGCACTCCGAGAAGTCAGAAGCGTTTCTGGGGACCCACAAATGAAGACCATGAGAGAAAGAGACAGGAGACGTGCTCTCTGCCTCCTGCAGCTCTGGTCGACGGAGGACACGGGGAGACAAGAAACTCCTCTAACTCATAATTGATGTTAAGGTGTTGGTTGCCAAATGTCTGTTGGCGAGCCAGCAACTGGGGGAGACAGTTTAAAGTCAGGAGGGAAACGGAAGGGGGCGGCAAGGTGAGGAGAAGGCCGGTGATTGTGAGACCACCTCCTAATTCAAACGGTTACATCGATTGAATTTCTCCCTCATTCGCTGTAGCCCTCACCAAACCGTCACTACCTGAATTCCAAAGCATCCACCGTCTGCATCAATACAGGGAGTCAGTGGGAAGGTAGTAAAGCCTGTCTACTGCTCGATATGATTGTCGGCCTGGGTGTGACATTTACGCTGAACAGTTTGAGAAGATTTCAAAGCATCTGCACATCTAAAATTGGCGTACATAGAAAAACAATGTGCGTCAGTGTGCGTTTCTAGTGTGTGTTTCTAGCGACTCGCCCGGTTTGTGGACTGTCCTTATGAACCCCCGAGTTCAGCGATATTATCGTGGCTTACTGCCGCTGAACCGCTGAACAGAGGTGACCTTTTTTTGGAATGCTGAGTGACGTGGAGTTAGAAGACGCTTCACGCTTCATTCAGCAGGAGGCTGCGGCCTGATTTTCAGCGATTGGCCGTCTCTAGCGATTCGTCCAGGTGTGATCAAAGCCACCGAA